CTGGCAGCTTCAGCCAGCAGCATTCTAATGAGACTCATGTGGTTGGCACGCCTTGCTCGTCCCGACCTGCTGAGAGTTGTGACTTGGTTGGCAACCATGGTACAGTCCTGGACGCAAGCTTGTGATGCGTACCTGTACCGTGCCATATGCTACCTCGAGTGCACCAAGAACGCTATGTTGCTTGGGCATGTGCGTGATGCGCCAGAGCGTGTGTTTGTTGAGCTTTTCGCAGACGCAGACTACTGCGGAGATGATGAACACACCCACAGTACCACTGGTGGATGGCTACAGTTGTCTGGCCCTCGGACGTCGTTTCCGTTGGCATGGCTGTCGAAGAAACAGACGGCTACGTGTCGAAGCACGACGGAGGCAGAAACTGTCGCACTGTCCTATGTGCTCTTTGAAGAGGGTTTGCCATTGGTTGAGTTGTATTCCGCAATGCTTGGGCGTCCTGTGTTGTTGAGGCTTTGCGAAGACAACACTGCATGCGCGAAGGTCGTAACAGCTGGATACTCCAAGAAGCTGAGGCATCTCAAACGCGTACATCGCGTGAGTTTGGCTTCGATGAAAGAACAGTTGGACCGCGATGACGTGGAACTGAGCCTTGTTGGAACAAGCGACCAGAAAGCCGATGCTTTTACAAAAGCAGTCGAGCCTGCGCTATGGCCCAAAACCCTCCAAAACCTTGGAGTGCACCTCGATGGTTACACCATCAAACATACATCAGGCACTGGCCTGAAGTTGGACAAGCAAATGGCGTTGCAGCCAGATGCACCAACGACAGATGTAGCGACAGGACCTCAGGGCACGACAGGCCCTACCCAGCCAGGGTACAAGACACGGCAGAAACACAAGCCGAAGAGAATACCTCCATACAGTGTGCCACAGAGCCTTTCCGAAACCGCTGGATAGCCCGGGATTCAGAACTGATCCAAGCCGTCGAGCAGCTCAGGAGTCAGAGGGGGGAGATGAAATCCCTCAGCTAAAACAGCCACAAGATGAACTGAGCTTTGAGTGAGGTTTGCATGCTTACATGTATAGTTGATAGGAGGAATCTAGGACCACTTTGTCCAAGATTGGAATTATCATGTAAAGAGTTGCATCATCTGAAATCGGTATGCTAAAGTAGCATTGCCGTGTGAACTGTGTTACTGAACGCCAACTCGTTTGGCTCAAGAACTTGGAAAAGGTGCAAGGGCCGTTGAATGCCGATCGTCGTATCGTCCGCTGCCTTTGCATAGGAAAGCCAGGTTTCAGAGTTTCAACTGAGAGTGAGATGCCTTTGTGATAAGTGCACAGTAGCAAAGCAGCAAGGAACAGCGACAAGAAGGTCACAGACCCGTCCACACCATAGCGATCTCCGTTGCACCAATCCACTAAGTCTCATCCAAATCGATCACACAGCTCATAGGAGCAAGGACACTACTAGGAGCAAAGGGCATCGCTACTAGGAGCAAGGACGCTACTAGTGTCAACAAGTTTCGGGGAACGGGAACGGTCATCCGAGGTCAACGGCCGTTCATGAGGCCATCATAGGCCATCTCTTTTTTTAATACAGGGCTCCCATTGTTTTGACCACCCTACCCGCTTTGACCTCCTTTTGTTTTGATCACCCAAACTGTTTAGTTTGACCTCCCACCCGTTTTTTTTGACCACCACACCTTGTTTCTTGATCCCCGCGATTTTTTAAATACTGTAATCCCTTTTTAAACCTCCATGTGTTTAAGACATCAACTAAGCTCACCCACCCCCTTAAGCTTGCCACACCACGCCCCAAAGCGCGTCCACCACCGCTCGCAACCACCATCATAATCCCCTGCCCAGAATCGTCGACGTTTCCTTCGGTCTATGTTAAAACCTGGACAACCCCACGGCTGGTGCAGTTTCACCGGCGGCCTCCCTCACATCACGATGGTTGTGGGAGAAGACCTCAACCTCACAGCCTATGACTCTCGTCAGGAGGTGGATAGCTAGGGTTCCTTTGGTGGGCCACGCAAGTGGATAGATACACAGATAGATATGTATATATAATATATAATTGTGCACAGTGTACATATATATATATATATGCTACCCCCCAAATGTCTACCTTTTTGGTTTGCTAGCATGGTTTCTACCCAGTGTTGTCCTGTGATTTAAATGCAAGAACAATACCAGCCGAACGGCTGACCAATGCACACAGATAAGGGCAGATGTTTTCCAAGGTTGGGAAATTAGATAACAGCGATACAATCCAATTCACATTGTTAGTTGTATCTTTTGCAATTGCAAAATCTTTGATGGATTATGTATTTGATCACGTGAATTTCCAAAGTATCAGTTCAAATTGTTACATTGGATTTGAGAAGTTCAAAGTTTGAATCTCATGGTGTACAAGTGCCAAGACCCCACAATTTACAGAATTAATTGTGTACAAGATAACGAACAAAATTCTATATGAGCACTCCAATTCATACTGTCAGTTGTACCCAGTGCAATTGCACATAAGAAAATTGATGTACTCAACTGACTATACGAGTTGTTAGCATGTTTTACACTGTGACACTACATTTAAGCAACTCAAATTAGGAATTTAAGATAACAATTGTGACAGTCACACAATCAAATGTGGAGATAACAAACAATAGCAAACACTGCAACTCACATTGTTTGCAAAAATGAGGGTTGATGAATAGATTTGACGATGTGAGTGTAAGCCTTCAATTCACACTATAACATTGGGTTTTGCACAACTAGAACATTGACTTGCAATGACCTGCATGCTTTATAATTGTGCATATCACAGGGTAACACGGTAACACATTAATTTACAGAACTATTTTTGTGCATGACAATTGATAATATCATATGTTAAGACTGAACTCAAGGCCTCAATTGGACCCTGTCACTGCTTGAGTGGGATCCTATTAAATAGGAGGGGTGAATCTTGACCAACTCAATTCAGCAATCTTTCCAGAGGTGAAGTGGGAGACGCACCAAATTTAGATGCACAAAGTAGATTAGGATTCATTGAATGGATTGGGAAAATCCAGCCTCGCCCTGTCAGCTCAGGAGAGTCTGGTGAATTGGCATCCAAGCAATGCTGGCTTGGGAGCCGAGCCTTCGGGTGTGGATAAAGAATCTGGCCTGTTCGCCTTTAGACTTAGAGAAACCCTTAACTTAGGGCCCTGTTACCTGAGAGGCTTCTATTTTTCAGTTAGAGCACAATCACAATGTTTCTGGTAGGTCAGACCCCTGCCACTCTTGCAGCAATTTGATTTCCCCATGGCCCATGGCATAGAATCTCACATTTACATCGTTCCTACAGACTTCCAGACCACCAGCAACACAAACCAGCTCTAGTCCAGGGTGAATTGTTCCCTTGCTCCACTATAGTCGTGCGAAATTGCCCAGTTCTCAGAACCACTAGACTAAGAGGTCCACGAACACTTCTCAAGTCATGAATCTCGGAATATGAGGTCTCCTCCTTTCAGGAGCACTCCGAAAGCCAGGCGAAGCTGTGCCTCTTGGGGACCGGGAAACAGTCTAATCGCAACTGCCAGAGGCGTCATTCTCCACCTAATGCAGTCCAATTCTGGGAGGCAAGAAAGTGACCCTGCCAATTGTCCAGACTGGCAATATGCGGTGAGTGACTCGAACAATTCAGGAGATGCCGCCTCGGACCTATGAATCAAAGCTTTAGGATGAATTCAAAAGATTACTTAGCTGAGTAGTTCGGAAACAAACCGACTTTGCCATGTTGGTGCTGATTGGTCTGCTTGGTGTCTGGCCGTGTCTGGTTTTGGGCACGCACGGGCCTGATGGTTTTTCAGAAGTTTTCACTATGCCCGGAGCGAGCTTCAAGTTGGAATTGCACGGTCCTGGCATCACGTCAAAGGATCGCGCAATCATCCGAGAAGCTGGCACAGAATGCCCAGGACGTTCCGACAAAGCGGACTCCAATGCAAGAAAGAATTCTATTTCAGTTGCTACCTATGTGTATCATGCTCAAGGTGCCTATGAGCCATCACCCTTGGTGCACAGTGGGCCCAATGTTGCTTCTGCTAACTTTCCGGGATGGCTCACAGCAAGCTGGTATCCAGTGCAGCTGCGGATGGCCGGCAGTTCTCGAATTTGTTATTGTGCAGCGCGTGCTGAAGAAGAGGCTGGAAGCCCCATGCTGAACCCCAACGAATCTCCTTGTGACTTGGACTATGCTGTCTACAGGTTGGTTGGCGCAGCTTATGCCATGGGAATCAAGCATTCCACTTCGATTGGCGCTTGCATGGTCTTGAGTGATGGCACACTTCAGGAAAACTGTCAGCTCACCATCCACGCAGATCGTGGAGGCCTTTCGGCCGAAGACAGCGCTGACCTGGTCTCAGGCGATCCAGCGCAAATCTGCGGAGAGGCGCCTGCTGGAACCACCTTGCAACCCAGGCATCCCACTCTTGCTGAAATCAGACAATCACAAGGGATTTGGGGAAGTCCTGAGAAAAGGGAATTCACAGAGGAATTAATTCGTAGGAAATCACGGGAAAATCATGGTTTGCTTTCCTGTTTAGTGAGGTTCCGTCCCGTCAGCCAAGGCAAGGAGATGCCTTTGCTTGGACTTTCCAAGTACCTTCAGGTGCCACAGTGGAAAATTGGCATGCCACGACTTCAGAGTTAGGAACCCAACATGTCTTGAAGGTCTGCTACTGTGTCAAGCCCAGCGCTTCCAGCGGAACAAGTATTTGCGCTCTCTCAGATTGGCAGAATGCAGGCATGCTTTCGCTGGTGGGTTTTTCTGGAAGCCCCGCAGAAGTGCACTGCTATCGAGGACAGAGGTGTCGCCTTGGACGTCCTGCCTTCGGGATGAGTAAGGGAGATGCTGTGCTGGCAGTGCCTGGCAATTCCACCTGTTCAAATGCTGCTTGGGCAGAGACAAACATCAAAAGCTGATACAGCTGATGCATTGAGTACAGGATTACACAAATGTTTAGAAAAGAGCAAAGAATCAAGCTCAAGCACAACCCCCATGAATGTGCAGGGCTGGGTGAATGCGCAAGTTGATTCCGCAAGTTTGACACCAAGTGGACCAGAAGGTTACCACATTGATAAACTGATGTTAATTGTTGTTGTATGCAAATTACACTAGTTTTCATTTGTTTTTGTCTGGGAAACTTGAGTTCTGGAAGCTCTGCCTGGTAGGTGGGTTGGGAATGTTTAGCTCCCTCACTCACCTTCTCTCCACCTTTCTCCGAGGTGGAGTCATTGCAATTCGGAGCATCCACACCCATCAGCGTGCTGGGTGGGGGAACAGCTGTAGCCCACATCGACGTCAAAAATTATGTGGATAATTTGGCCACCGTTTGCTTCTGCTCCGCCGCGGTGAGCGGGATTTTTGGATGCCAGAATGCCCAGGGCAGGGCCTTTAGCATGCTGATGGGCTATGTGCCCGGGCCTGGATCTAGACACATTCGGCAGTAGAGCTAAGCCTATCACCTAATGTAATGATTCATAGGTTGGAGGCCATCGCTCTTGGAATTGTTTCTTGCTACGTAGTTTTCCGTTTCAGACTCTGAGGTGCGATCTGGTGGTTTGGAAGCTGGAGTGAGGATGGATTGCATCCCAACGTCTTCCTCCTGTCCTTCTACGCCGTTCTACCTGCAGGGAGACGATGCAGCTGTGGCCCGTCGGGGGAAGCTCTTTTTGGCGGAGCTGAAATATCGACCATGCGAGGCAATGCATGGCTGAAACAAATAAGCGCATCGTGCAATCATGATCCATAATGAACATGACCGGCTGGGAGAAATGGGTGAACGGTGAACTGCCTTGCTTCAGATAGGGCTGTAATGCTGCAATTACATCTACTTGCCCATCAGAACACATATGTCCACACAAATAGGTTATATATATATATTCTTCTGTTCGTAAGTGTGTGGTGCCAGCTACCCGAGCACAGAGTAAAAGGCAGGTCGACCCACGAGCACCTCATCCATCACGACGAACTGCTGCCAGGCACAAAGCCAAATAGGTGGAAAGACCACTCAAAGCCAGACCCTTCAGGTCGCCAGCTGCATAATCTTCCTTCAAAGGATTGCAGAGAAACTCAAAGCAAGAACTCAAGAACGAAAGATATATCACATCAGCAAAGACGGTGAGAAGAAAGCCGAGCAATAAAGTGTCCCGAACACACAGGACGAACTTGAACCTCTTGAGATAGCGCCATCCACAGGACTGCCAGCGATGCTTTGGCATGGCGGCACGACACAGACACCATAAAGTGTCATCAAGAATTCAGTAATCACCGCAGTGAGGACTTCCATCAACTGAAGAAAAAGTACGGCGAGAGGAAGGCAACTCACTTGATCGTGCATCAAATGATCCTCATCATTGCTGCTGTAAGGCAACAGGCAAAATCACAGTGAAAAGATTTGCAAAGGCTGGACGCCCTGAAGGTCTCAATCCACACGAGGATAAAATATGCTGTCATGCTTCAGCACGGCAGGCAACACAGAGACATCACCATAAGGTGTCGACAAAGGGCCGAGATATCACACCACGATGCACCACCCCAGGTATCAACTGGAGAGAAAGGCAGCAACAAGAAAAGAACGTCCATAGTCAATAGTCAATAGTCCGAGCATGCCACCAGAATGAACCAAGTGAAGAAAAGGATGGTTAAACCAAAGTTCCGCCACCAGTTCAGTAAGTGGGAACGAGTGCAGAAAACAGCCCTTATATACTTACAGCATCAACGTCAGTTGAGACAAAGGCAAAGGGACAAGATCCGAAGTGTATCACCGTACTGAACCGTAGGTAAGAATGGCGCAAGGCCTATGCGATATACCACACAAGGCGAGCCGTAAGACGTCCAGCAGGACATCATACGTGGACTGATACACCTCGCTGACTCTCTCTATCACCCCGGAAACACACGTAGAGAGTCAGGTCGTAAGTGTCCGGGATTATAAAAGAACATTTGCTAATTAATATTCTTAAACCTGGCAAACTGTTGGGATTCCTCCATATATGCACAGGACTTGACATCTGCAGATGTCCAACAAGCACGCTTCGAAGACACTGGCGAGTCTGTGCGTGTGGAAATGCCTTGGCCAATCCGTTCAGGCAGGTTCAAGCTCTGGGAATCACACTCGACAGTATCTGGTTTAAGGAAGTCCTGGAACCCTGGTAGGGGTGAAAATTCAAAGTAGTTGCCACAGCTTCTTTGGGGTGCGATCAACGGGTGGCTTGTTTGAGGGACAGGGCTGAGAGTCGGTCGATGACGCAGGGTGAGCGCGTGGTTAGGTGAGGCTTATTTTGAATCAACAAGTTTGACAGCTGACAGCCCTTATTCAAGCATTTCGCCATGTGCATCTGAAAGCTGCCTCAATGTCATTTGCAATGAGAAAACCAAAAAGCAACCAAAACCTTGAAAAAGAAACACCAAAACCCTTGAGAAAACCTCAAAACAACGATTCTCAGGAGGTCTTTGCCATGAATCGCCTTCTCTGCAAAAGAGTACTGGAGCATGGTTGTTTTTTTTTGGTCTTTTCATTGGTTTTCTCGAGGTTTTTGGTCTGATCCTGATTGATAGCATTCTCTTTGATGACTTCGGCAGTAAGTTCTAGCCTTTTTTGTCCCCAAATAAATGGAGAGGCTTGGGCATGGTTCCGTTCTAATTAGCGTTCCAATTTCATTCTATATATATAGAATTAATTCAACTCTAGCTTAAATATACTTTAATCTGAATTTTAGTTCTGATCTAATTCTATGTCAATTCTATTTTAATCCTAATTTGTTTCAAATTCGATTTTTATTTATGCCTATTTTAATTCAATTTCAGGTCATTCAATTCCAAATTAATTGTTTTACAACTTCAATTTATTTAAATTTTAAACCAACATTAAGTGGCATTTATTTGAATCAATAGATTCTAACTGAATCCCAATCTAATTCTAAATTGAATTCTAATGTAGTTCCAAACTGAGTCTAATTAAATTCCAAGTCAATTCTAACTTGAGTCTGACTGAATGCTAAAAATTGTTGACTTTTCATTTAACATAATTTAGATACGTTAGTTTTAATTCAGTTTTGGTTATCTGATTAAATTTGTCTAACTTATTTCCAATTCAAATTGAACTTCATTCTAACTTGATGCCTGCACAATAGAAATTTAATTCTTATTTAATTCAATTTGAATTCCCAAACCCAGGCCCCATGGCCACCCCTTCTGTTCAATTTATTCTTACTTTTGTTTCAATGTATTTGTAACGTATTTCTAATATAATTCAAATTTGCTTGCTTTACAATTCTAATTTAATTATGATTTTGTTTCTAATTCAATGCAATCTGAATTAAAGTTCAATCCTTAATTTGATTGCAACTCAATGCGAACTTAGTTGCAATTCGGTTAGTTTTATGTTTGTTAATTCTAACTGAATCCTTGAAAGGATCTGTTGCTTTTGAACTGATAGCTTTTGTAACAAGCTCTTGGAAAATGCATCGAATTACACTGTAATACATATTGAATTGTATAAATTGGAAGCAAACTGGAAATAAATCAGTAGTAACTCATAATTGAATTGGCATTAAGATGTATATCTAAGTAAATTTGAATGTTTAAAGAACTATTGTGAATTGTATAAGAATTAAGTTGAAATTAAGTTAACAACAAAACACAATTACAGTAGAACAAAGACAGAATCACAGTTGAAATAAACGTATTTTTAATTTGGAAAAAAACATCTTCCATGAGCTGCCCTTGAGTCGAAACAAAGGCATTTTGACATTCCAGTCAGTGAAGAGTTCAATCTTTGAGCAACAAATGAAGTCAAGAAAACTGCACTCTCACACTCACAGTCCTCCGTACTCTTTTTTGGAGTGCCCAATTCTTGTAGAATTTCGAAACCTGTTGTTGAATCAGGAACTCTCCAATACAGACATTATTTGTGCTTTCCCCTTTCACATTGGGATATCCCTGCAGGCCGCTACGCCGTTTGCTTTTGTGAGGATTCGCTGGGCTGTCCACAGGTGCACCAACAGACCACACTGCAGCATGTGGGTGAGTTGAGAGTTCTTGGCGCTATAACATCGGTGGAACTGAGCAACTTGGCTCGAGGTATTGTCCTCCGAGTGTGGTAACAGTAGGGGTTCTTACGGTAAGAGTTAAGGACGGGTGTCTGATAGAGGTGCTCGTATCCGCGCCCGGCTAATTCGCTGCTATTTACAGTGCATTCATTCAAGATCTTCGAAGTGCATTTCAACTGCGCAGGCTCGCAGAATCCGGTGGGCGCGAGCGGGTGCTCTTCGAGACTGCGCTCTCGTTGTGGTGCCGTGCGCATTTTCGGGCTTGGTTGGTGAACACTTTTCGTGGCAGGAAAGTCAACTTTTCCTTACAGCGCAGGAGATTGGGGCTTACGTCGATGTTCAGATTTCGTGGCAGGCGCGTACTTTGGAAATCGTGGTCATCTTTAACACGCTCTCGTTTCGTGGCAGGTGCAGTGAATCGAGACTTTTGGGGCATGTGGCTCGTGTTGAGGAAGTCTCGAGCGAAACTGCGTTTTGGATCCTTGTAGCAATTTGCTCTGTAAAATTGGAGAGCGTAGGTGCTCGGTGAAGCAATTTCTTTATACAGCTATACAGCTACTTGGTGCCTGGATAGGTAGTGGAGGTTGGGTGCTTCATTTTTATGGAGATGTCTGGGGCTCTGATTCTATAGAAGTGGTAGATCTAGAGTCTCTGGATAAATGGACTGCTAGGTGTTCCAATTCTATAGACAGACAAAAATTTTTTTTCAGGCTGGATTTAGTGATTCTATAGAGAGTCATGTTGTGAATGGTTGTGTCTTCTGCAGTGTGTTTAAACTTGCTGGTCCTGGATTCTGTGGGGGTGCATTGTTGAATGAACCTTATGACATCCGATTCTATAGAGAGCCCTCCCACAAGGAGGTCGGGTGCTCCATTTTCTGTCTCTAGAATTGGGAACCATGAGATACCACCTGAATTCCAAAGAGGATCGTCTTTTGCTGTGAATCGCCATGGCAGGGCCGTGCGATGTGCAGATTCCTCGGCAGGCGGAAGTCTTTGTGGACCTTGAAAAGCACAAAAAGAATGATGCCCAACTAAGGAAGCCCGTGATCTCTTGTGGCCTTGTTTTCCACTCATCGAATGCCTGGAGTTGGCGTAATTTGGCATCCACCGTTCGGATCTCTTAACGTGATTGTCTTCACGCTCTTGGTTCGAACCTTGAGGCGTGTCGACGGTGATGGGACGTGGTCCACACATGCATGACTTGGCGCTCCCACGGGACTCATCGTTCCACCCTGATTCCACTGAGATGCGGCGCTGAACGGGGGGGCTTGACGCTCCGGTGAGGGTGGCAGGCCTTTTGGAAAAAGGATTGATCGGGAGTTCCAGCCTCTCGAGATGGGGAATTTTTATAATTCCTCGATGGATCACTAGTCTGCCACGGCTCAACAGGTGGAACACTCGATGGCGGGTTCACGGTACTCGGATTATACCTACTTCGGTTCCAAGCGCCTGACTAGTATGTGCGGTGGCGGGATCATGTGGTAGCACTAGGCGAACGGCGTCAGGGGCGGGCGGTGCATTCGGCGATGCGAACCCTTGGATGGTCAACAGCTGCTGAAGGGTGGGACCTAAAGCTAGAACGGCTTGCAGAAAGCTGATTCGTTTGTCTCTCCAAAGACTCCAACCTTGTTTGATCCACCGCACTCCGCTCACGAGGCACTCTTGATTGCGAGCGATCTCTGGATCGTTCTCAGTGGCGCGCGGATTCAGCTTGGTCTGCGGGTTCTGCCTTCATTGGCTTCAATCTCTACGGATGAAAAGTTCAACAGAACCTGAAGAAATGTGATGTATATAATTACTGTGATCCTACTGCCCCTTAAGGGGCTCCGCTACCATATGAAGATCTTCAAAATGTGATCCAAACAAATGAAAACAATGATCGAATCGAAATGTCACACGACTGCCCTCCCACCCAACGTGGCCGCAGCGTTCTTTTACGCTCACCTTGAGCCAACGCGTAGCGTTGGATCAGTCTCGAAAGTATCGTGTCATCCCTTGCGCAGGGGCCACGCGCATCATGTCGAAGTGTGGTGCATTCTCTCGATTTGTGCGTGTCGAACGCACTGGCAAAACCTGGTCAAGAGCAGGTCAGGTGACCCGCAAACTATCAAGTGATCTCTCCTGGAGTTGTGAGGGATACGATCTGGTGTCAGTGCTCCACACGACGACGACCACCACGACCACCATCACCGCCATCACCTCGCTCTGGAAGCCAATACGACTAGATCTCTAGGCCTTCTGCTTCTACACCTCTAGATTTTAGACTTCAGATGCACTATGATACGCGGTTTGGCGTCTCTTGCCGGGATATTTTTTTAAGCCCTCACCAAACTCCTAGCTACTTAGGCATACTGAGGCTACTACATATGGACGCAGGATAGTTCACGCTTCTTCAAGGAGACTCTTTCTGCCGTGTTTAGGGGAGCTTTCTTGAAGAGGCGCTGGCACTAATGATTTGGTTCCTAGATTTTGACGGAATCTAAACAGATTGCAGCCTTGCAGTGAAGAGTTTTCATTTTCAAGCCGCACAAATAGCACCGGTCCAGCACTGGGCCCAGGTACCCAACCGGGATTCTCGACGGTGCCCTTGAAGGTAAGGATTGAGGAGCCTGCCACTGGAATCCGGTGCTGTGCTGATGCTCAGGGCATCAATATCGATTGTGTCGACCTTGGGTAACCTTCACTGGCGAGCAATGACCAATAAGAGAAAGTACCAGGTAGACTAGTGGAAGAATACCTCATCAACAGTCAGAAGACCAAAGCTCTCTAAGGTGTGGATTTGCAAGCTTCAGCCACCCCTGGTGAGTTCTTGTCCTCTCCGGGCACCTTCCGCTTTCCCTTGGTGCTGCAAGAACCCTTGGAGATAAGCGACGACCCACTGAACGTCAACGTCTCCTGCGCTGCCATGGGAGAGAGCGGGCTTTGTGCTCAGAACGGGACTGGGCCGGAGCTGGGCACCTTTCCTTGTCGACAGGCGCGAAATGCTTCGAGTGAAGGACTCTTGTGGCAAGTTGAGGGGAACGTCCAGTGTGCCAAACGTCAAGTTAACAGGTTTGCTTGAGTTGGATCAGACGGCCGGCCACAGCAGGTTCAAAACGTTTTGTTCCAAGTCTATTTCAAGCGGCCAATAAAGTGTGCTGCAGATGCCTTCTCAACGGCTCTTCCTCGCGACCCTGATTAAAACTGTATATATAGCTCCCTCATTCAATTCAATTTCCTAAACTACGAAAGCAGAGTCTTGTTTCATTTGCACTTGGACCCAACACTTCATCAAATGATCTATTGATTTCACTATGGTTCTTAAAAGTACCATTGTTCAAACGGACACCAGCGATGCAATTCAATGAGCATCAATCTCTTTCCACTACTAGAACATGCTGCCCCACTTGGACTCAAGGATAAGTTTACAAAAGTCAGGTGTGATTCTGTGATTTGTGTTTACAAAATTTACAGCAACGATCCGCAACGCCTGTGCCTCAACTCTTTTGTTGCGCAGGTAGAGCCTCTCCAGGTGCAGCTGAAAGCACAGCCCTTGGCCTGGAAGCCCCCTTGGCGGATACCTGTTAATAGCACACTGGGCTTGGAGGCCTTGGCAGAACCCGCGGGCTATGCCTCGCAGCTTAAGGCCGTGGAAGATGAGGAAACCGCGCCATCAGGCCAGGAAGCAGAGAATGCAACAACTGAGAAAATGCCAAAGGTGGATGAACATATTTGACAAAACATGACAAAGCTCCGTTGAGTTTGCCAGGAATTTGCAAGACGCTTTCATCCCAGCATTTCCACAGCTTGCCTTGCAAGGGCACGGAATGCGTGGATCAGGACTTTGCTCGGGGCCAGGTGCCGGGCCACTATGAGCTTTGCGTTTGTGAGGCTGAAGCTGTTCCCATGTCCCTCATATGTCAGGGATGGCACCACTTGGGCCATTTAGAGGTATTTGGACCTTTACAACTCAAACATGCCTTGCATGGAAGCGTGGGAGAAGCCATGCACATCGATTTGGATGGCCTGGGCTTCAGTAGTGGGGACAGCTTGGTGAGTGTGCCCTTGGATTCAGAGCTGATGAGACCAGAGACGGCCTGCATTGGCGACTTACTTTTGAATATATTGTGTATGTTTATTTTTTTCACCATCCTTGACTTGGCTGAAGTGTGACCACTTTTGTATGTTGATATGGTTGATGGAAAAAATCCAGCGCCGCTTTGTGTCGTCCCTCTTTCTTTGGCGTTAAGAACCTCCCAAAAGTTGAATGTCCAACGGCCTGGACCATCTACAGCCAACATTGCACGAAGGGCGCGAAAGCTCGTGCGTTACCCTTGGCACTGTGAGGTGGAGAACGATTTTGTCCATCAAATATATATGTGACATGTGATCATATGTGGTCTTTTGAACTTTAGGCTGCGTGTCACGATTTTGATGTCTCCTCATTGGATGATGCGGTTACTTTCAGCCAGGCGAGGGACGAATTCTTGCACCGCTAAGCACCGTGCACAGCCCTCATGAATGGAGTACAAGCTCACTGCATTTCATTGCAACGCTTTCTGAAGGGACTCATGCATTATGCTGGCTCCCACCAGGCGTGGGGCCAAAAAGGCAAGTGTAAGATTTTGGAGTTGAGCAGTCGCGAGTGTGTACCTGAGACTCTGGAGAATGTCGATTGTAAACCTTGCTAAGTTATATAGATAGATTTCAGGTGGGAATTGTGGGAAGGACCTTCGGAGATCTGCAGGCAATGGGCAGCTGCCCTACTACTTGGGTTTTGCTGAGATCTTTGGTGAACGCATAACCATCGCTGGATGTCTCGTAACCCCTTGGGAGCTTCTCCAGCCTTGCTCTGCTGAGTGCGGTGCTGGGCGGGAGATTTGGTACCGACGCGTCCTGGGTGTTGTGGAGGCCGGAGCAGATTGCTCAACCTTTGAGGAGGCGCATGCCGTGCACGTGAACAGAGGAAGTTTGTGCACTGTGCATGAAGTATCAAAGACTATGTGATTCTGTATAAATATTGTATATTGCGAACTATTTTCCATAGGGATCATAGTATAGCTGTGTTACATCATTTGCATCGCAGTATGCATTTGCAGCCCCTTCGTGTATCAAGAAAAAGTGCGTATGGTAGCGGAGCAAGGATAAGGGTAACCCCCTTTGAGCTCCAGAGAAAAGCCCCTAGGTCATTGGGATCCCGCGTGCGATTTCGAGCCATAGATTTGGGGCCTTTGGAGCCCAAACGCCAGTACATTCTGTCAAAGAGACATTAGTACAAAGAGAAGATGGAGGAAATAAGAGAAATCCTTCAAAATATAGCACAGAGTACGCTGGCAACAGCATCAGCAGGTGAGGCAGTGAAGAAAGCAGTTGAAGACAACAAGTCATCAACAACAACAGAGTGGTCAAAATTGATAGCAAAGCCCAACATCTTTGACTACAAGTCACAAGGGGAAGAGACCAAGGCATTCAGATAATGGTCGTGCGTCTTTGAGAAGTACTTGAGCGCAGTTGATGAGCGCTACATGAAGGACCTGAAGGAAATTCGTGATGAGCCAAATGAAAGCTTGGATTTGGACTTGGCAACATCAGAGGAGAAGACCAGGTGCATCAAGCTCTATGGATTGTTAGCTTCATTGATGAGAGGAAGAGCACTGCAATTGGTGAAGGCTGTGGAAGACTCTAATTGATTTGATGTGTCATTCAGAGTCCAAACTCTTGAACGTCGTCGCTTTCCAGCTGTCGGCCATTCGGGGTTGTTCCACTTCAGCATGGTTGTTCTCGCTCTTCTTCTGTTTTTGGAACACCTGCTTGGTGAACGGAGATGAGTGTGTTCTTCTTGGTCTCGATCAGCTTGGCGAGGCGCTGCAATGGACTCCACTTGGTGCATGGAGGGGAAATCCAGATGAACCTGGGTTCCATGCGATCTTGTAGTTCAAGCAAGGAGATTGAACAAAGCTTTGAAACCAACTTCAAGGGCAAACTGAGCACGCTGGGGAGCAGCCACTACATGGCCAGCATGGGCAATGAACAACGCAATACAAGCTCAACTATTAAGGCTTGAAGAAGTATTTGATGAGACAGTCAGGCCAGGGACTAAAATTCAGGAAGAGTTCAAATCTGCTAGTCTTTTGGGATGTGTTGGTGGACAACTCAAATCCTACGGGAACTTGACAACTCGCGACAATGTTCAATATACTCAACTTTGAGGGAACAAGTGTTTCAATGGGATCGCTCCCAGCAGAAGTGGGCTACTTCCATGTGGGTCGTAGCAGTACAGACCACCAAGGGCCTATGCCAATGGGCATTGATCGAGTCCAAGATACCAAAGAAAAAGGTACGAAGGGCAAGAATGACCATCTGAAAGGCAAAGGTAAAGATACCAAGGGCAAAGGAAAGAAAGGAAAAGGAGATCAGAAAGGAAAAGAAGGTGATTACAAGGGCAAAGGTAAAGGCAAAGACCGAATGGAAAAGGTGTGGCAACGTGTTACACAGCCAGAACATCTTGCTAAACACTGAGGAACAATATTCGACAGGTAGCAAGTGATCAGACCCATTCATCTTCAGGAGGAGCATCAGTGACAACTCATACAGTTGGCCAACAGCGTGCCAATGCGAGCCAAAAGGTAGCTCAGAAGAGACCAAACCAGTGGCCAGGAGAATTAGGCACAGTCAGCCAATCATCTTTGACTTGAGAGGAGACGACGAGCTAGAAGATCGGGCAATCAGAGCGATTCACTTCTACATTGGAGATGATGATGAGTCAGACAGTCAGAGTACCGGGAAGTTGAGTAGATTGAAATCTCAGATGATGAACCCCTAATAAGGAGACTTGGGGAAGAGAATGAGAGAGTTCAGCGCAAAGACCAAGTTGCAAGATGCACAAGGAAATCGTATCCCCAGACAAGGTGCGAAACGTGTTGAAATTTCCTTGCGTGACCTTGATGGACGAGAAGTTGTTTCTCAAAGTGAATGTGATCTTCAGTTCTAAGGTGATCCAACCCATACTTTGCTAGGGAAGATTGATGGAGCATGGTTAGGGAATCAACGGCAGAGAGCAAATGCTGGAGAATGGTGACTTGAAGAAGGTACCGCTCAACTTACAACATCGCCCCTTGAGAGGTCAAGGCCGCGTTAGAGTCATTCGAGCTGAAGATGAAAGCTGCTTGGAAGTGCAAGTACCTGAAGCTTTGGAGAAGGAATCGGGCTAGAGATTCAATGAGCATGGACTGCTACTTCATGCTTATTGACTTCAAGACTTGTGAAGAGGAGGTAGATGGCTAATGCGTGAATATTGTGAAAGCGTGAAGAAGAAGGAGGATTTTGATGAGCAATTCCTTGATGATGATGCAGTCATTCCTTCAATTTCAGCTATGAGCCAGCGCCGCCAGAGGATATGGGATTCTTTTCACCAGGATACAAGAAGCTTGCGAACTGAGAACAGAGAAAGAAAGAAGTGCAACCCGCGCTAGAAGATTGCCCCGGCTCGCGAGGAGAGAAGGTAGAAGGTGAGAAAGAAGACGAAAAGAAGGATACTGACCTTGAGTGTGAGCCACATTTGAGCCCAATGGATGTAGACAAAGTCTTGGTGAACGGAGTAGAGTTGACTCAGGATTCATCTTTGGCAACTCTGAGGGCAGCTGGTTCATTTTTCGGCATTTCAGGCAGTGGCTCTAAGCTAAAGGTCTACACCAAGATCCTCAATCACAACAAGAAGATGGAATTGTTGAACGCCAAAAGCTTGGTGAGTGAAGCAAAAGCTCATGAGACTAGAGAGGCGTTAGGACAAAGTGTTGCAAAGATGCCAGGTGAAGCAACTCAAGCAAGGCGCAGGTTGACGCAAGCGCCGTATGCCCATTGGTGTAAGGAGTGCGTTGAACATTGAGTGCGTCCAGGCCGCCATGAGAGAACAGAAGGTGTATATAAAGAGAGGAAGTATTCTTGAGGTATGCTTTGACTTTTGCTATACAAGAGCAAGAGATTCAGAAACAAAGTCAGCAAGAGCAGTGCGTTGGCTAGTTGCAATTGACAGCCAGACTGGATTCATACATGCTGTGCCATTAGAAAGTAAAGGCCAATTTCGTCTCATTGCGCAAGAGTTGATGAATTGCAGTCAGTTGTTGGGGTATTCAGCAATCGCCTACAGGAGTGATAATGAACCCACAACCAGACAAATCCTCAAGATGCTGATCAATGCTCACCACAGTCTAGGACTCGCTGGTTTTGTATTGAGGTCTGTCATGTTGCTATCTGTTGGTACTTGTACCATCTTGAAGTCTCTTCTGCTTTGATCCCATAGCAACTTTCCATCCAAGTGTCTCACTTTTCCAACTCCCCTCTTCATCACAAGTCGGCGCGCGCTTGATGAATCTGTGAAGATGTAACAGTCCACCTTTGTCCCAAGAGCAAACTCAAGAGCTGCGCGCATATAGATTCCATTTGACGCTGAGGAAACTATTGCACGTAGTTCTGCTTCACATGAATATAAGCTAATGGTCTTCTGTGTCCTGCGATGTTGACCTTCTGTGGCTTTTGTTTCTGAGAATATTCATGTTCCACCCCAGTCTGAGCATGTTTCCAAGCACCAATAGCTTTTTCCTTTCTTGATACAACCTTTCAAGTACTAGGCAATAGTCCATGTCTTCTTCAAGCGCCCTAGGAACTTCTTCAACTGATGAAATGACATAGCTGTAGGATTTGACATTCTTGAAGCCAGTTCCTTCACTGTAAACGCTACATCATACCTCTCTTGACGTAGGTAGGTACCTGACCCCACAATACTTCTGAAAAGGCTCATCTTCTGTTGCTTAAGACTTCTGACCTGTCTTCCATCTGGATTGAGTTGTCTGATGGTACTTGCTGAAGCTTGATCAATCAAATTTGCTCTTCATAAGCCTTCAGCGTCTGCTGGATATAGTTACCTGGTTGGATCCATAGTCCATCAACTTCTAGTTTGTACCTTCTCCTCAGGAAATTGAAATCGTCACCAATCCTCTCAATCTTGCCCACGCTGGTGCCAAATTTGCCTTGGATCTTTGGAGGAAAGATTTCATTGATGTACTTAGAGTTTCCTGTTCACTTTTTATTCCCTGCAAGAATATTGTGGGTAGAAGCTTCAGCACATGTCCTGAAGTTGCTGGTGAGAAAATGTCATCTCTCTTTCCTTCATCGAAAGCAAATTCTCTTGCAACTAGTCTTGGTCTTCTCTCCCACCTCTTGACTGAAACACCGTCTCCAAGTTGATACGGTTTCTTCCTCCAGACATACACATTGCGTGTTGTCAAGTAACTGATTCCCTTTGTGCTTCCTTCTGGTTTCTCTAATACTTGCATGTTCGGGAGTCTTTCTCTTCCACTTCATCAGCTACTCTGTCTATCCATTCTTCTGGATCTCCTTCAGGTGTTCTCCATCACGCCAGAAGCATTCAGGTCCAATTACTTCTTCCAAATCTGATTCATCTTCTTCATCATCCCACTCTTCTTCATCATTTTCTTCTGCGACTGGGGATATCTCTTCATCTACATGGTAAAGTAAAGATCTTCTCCTCCAACTTTCACCATGTTGATCTTGGCCTTCTTGCTTGAACCATCTGATGGCCTGAGCTTCTTCATTGGGCTTTCTTCTTCAAGCAGTTCAAACTCTTCTCTTGGTCTTGATGGCGCTGATGGTGATCTCAATGAAGATAGGATAGGCGTAATTGGATTAGGCTGCCCTGCTGGCGATGATGTAGAGGGAAATGCCTTCGCCTTCTCAATTGTCTTCTCATCTGTAAATAGAACTACCCGCTTCTTTCTTGGTGTCTCTTCTCCATTTGGCTTCACTTCACCTCCATCTCTTTTCATTGCTCGGTGGCAATGACCCTGCCTCCAAGGTTGGTTGATATTCCCATGAAGAGGCGTTGTAGCTTCTGTAGACGGGTAAGTATTTAGACCAATCTTGAGCTGTTCTTCTGGTGCATTTGCTGAGCACTCCCTGCACTCCATCTGTAAGCGCATAGGTGTCTTGCCTTTCAACTTTTCCCAAGAACAAGCATAGATGCCATCTTGCTTCTCCCTTGCTGAGGCTTTTGTTGTAACCATGAACTGGTTCACCATACTCTGCTAGAACTGCTACAAGCCCTTTCTAATTCTTGCCGTAGACAAGCCCATAGGGAGTTGCACCTTTGACTGGCCGAAACCTGTTAGGCGCCCAACTGGCATGTCTTGCTGCCCAAGTCCAAAGTGCATGATCTGATCCAATCTTGGTACCAAGTCTTGACTGCACCCTTCAATGAAAGTTCCTGCAAGCTTTCTCACCCTGTAAACTGTCAAGCTTTGAGTTGACCAGAGGACAAAGAACCAGATGAACCTCACTGGCTATTGGCACAGTGATGATCAAGTCAGAGTAGGAGAGTATGAGAAAAGGGTGTTTGATGAGAAGAAGAATTTTGCAGGAAAGGTCACTAAAGATTGCCAAAAGAGAATGATTGCTTTTGAGGGCTTGCAGCCAATGGTTGCAGAAGCGTTCCTGAAAGGAGACAACATCCAGTGTGGATTGGACGCAGTGAAGAATTCCAATGAAGAATGGACATTCTGGATTGCGTTCAACCTTATTGGTTTTGCAGCAGTGATCCTTGTACTCTTCAAGATCTACAAACACTTTGAGATCAGTTATTTCAGTGTAGCTGATGCAGACAAATTCCAATTTGACTACATGGATACTCTAGTCAAGAGAGTTGAAAAGCGACTTGATGAAGTTGAAGAAAGAGTTGGAATTATGGAATTTGGAGAGAGGAAAAACTTGAAGACAAATTCGACATTCTACAAGACTCTGTCAGGAGAATTCACAGTGGATTGGTTTTGAATGGAGGTTTTGTAGAGAGAGAAACATCAAACGCACACAAACCATTTCACAGCTATGACATTCTGAGTGAGCTCAGCGCAGGAAACGACTTAGCCAGAAGGAGTTTGGAGGCTACGCAAGCAACAGAAGGATGGTACGAAGGACATAGAGTCATGTTGGAAGCAGCCAAGGAAAGAGCAAATCCACCAGAAGGACCATTGACCAGAGCATTCAGAGCGGGAAACAGGGAAATGGCAGTGCAAATGTGTGGTGGAGTCCAGACCAAAGTTGAATCATTGAAATCACAACATTGGGACCTACTAGGTGTAGGAGATCAAGAGACTGCAGACAAAGTTGAGAGATAATAAACAAATATGAACAACCCAGATCTTGATCCAGCAAAAGTACGCTTCAGGAACCCAGTTCCTGGAAGAAATGAGTCGGCCTGCAGAGAAACAAGAATCGAATGGAAGAAAGTAAACCATGGTGGTAAAGTGAGCTCAAAGAAGCATTTTAGCGTGCGTATATATATATATATACGCATATAGATATATATTGTCTATAGTATCTATATATATATATTTTCTTTGGGTTCCCTATTCTTGGGGTTACCCGCTGCGCCGCCGTCGTGGAGGATCGTTTCTGTATGAAGCCTGCTTGCCCAGCAGTGGTCTCCAGCTGGAGGAGCTCTCCGGCAGAACCGCAGGCCAGTGACGCCATGGAGTTGCGAATCGTTGGGGTGAACCTTACGAACAACTTGCACGGCGTCCCTTAGCAAAGGAGCAGGGGACCGCGTGTTGTGTGTGGATGAACGCATGAGCAAAGCCAGTGGTTGAAGGGTCAGTTGACCATGCACCCTTGGTTCTATTTTAAATTTTGCTTTAGACAGGGATCAGTTCTTCTTGACCTTCCGAGCCAACATGGCCAGACCCTCTTGGATTTTTCAATTCCTTCCTTCCTCGGCCAAACTTGCACCTAGGTTCTGGTTCTGAATGATGGGAGCGCGACTTCGGACCAACAAGGCCTTTGTCGCTATGACTCTCATGTTGCGGCCATGGCCAAGTGTTCAGGTAATTCTGATGAGAAGGTGTGCAGCTTTCCCAGATCACCCTCACAGGGTAGTTACCAAGTTTGCCTTTGCATGGCTGATGGCCCAAAGTGCCAGGCCTTTTTGCCAGCATTGGGAAATTTGCAAATTTTGGGCGTCCAGGTGTTGGAAGATGAGAGCATTGCAGGCCCTATATTGATTTGCCTCTCCATCTTGCTCATCATGGCCTTGGTTCCTTTGCTACTGTTTCCCCGCCTGAGGAAAAGGCTGTGGATCAGGCTGACTGGAATGCTTCGAAAGCTCTGCCGCCGCAACTCAAAAGTTTTGAAAGTCATGGCCCTCCCGACAAAGTCTGCCACCGCATCTGAAGCTGAAGAGGACCAGACCCACGAGGAGAAACAGATTGACAAGGACTTCGATGACAAGGTCAGCTCAACCTTACAGCCAGAGGAGGAACCCGAAGAACCAATGTCGGACAGCCCCCGGGGTGCCAAAATACCTGTGTGTAGAGGTGACCGAAGTGACCAGGAATCCAGTGTGGCAAGCGGGGATGATAACCCGCCTCACCCTGACGTGCCTGACGTGCCCGAGCCGGACGTTGATGGGTGCAAGACACCAGAAGACCTGGCAAAGGAACCGAAGGAACGGATCCCTGAAATAGAGGTGATCCCAGAACCAGAGCCACTCAAAAAGTCTACCGCAGTGCAGGAGGAGACAACTTTTCTTATGGATTTTGACGAATATTTGGCAGGGATAACAGCTACTATAAGGCATCTCAATCACGTACGTTAGAGGTTGCTTCAACATGCCACACTCATCAATTGTCAGTTGTTGCGTTTCTTTAGAGAAAATGTTTTGATCAGCTCCAAAGGCTGAACTACAGGAGCAGAAAGAGGCTGTGCAAGAGGAGGCAGAGGAGGCTGGAGTGTCTATCAAGGAGAAGGCGAATGCCAAGCTTCCAATCCCCAGACCCTTGCCTCCTCCACCGCTTCTTGGATTTCATTTTGGGTTTAGGCAAAAACAGTGCGGTGAGATGATGCATAGTGATGAAAGTGCTTTCAGAATTCAGATGAATGAAGATAAATGTGGGGCATTTGCAGATTGTTGAGAAGGACGTTCCTTGTGTAGTGTTTTTGGATACTTTCGATGTATTTGGTCTGATCAAGTGACTCTGTAGACTGACATGAGATTCTTCAGGATTGAATCATGTGGGTTCATCAACTCTGGGCCATGAAGGCTTCGGGATGGGGTAGTTAATGGGTCTCGAAATACAGATGAAGTGGATTTGACCTGTGGTTTTGTCATTTGAGGCTACGATCTCCTCCGCGGCGGCTGCCAAGCTTACCTTTGAGCCCTAATCGCAGCCCTGTAAGCCCCGCAGCTATGGAGGCCTTGTCGAGAGCGACCATGATTTTGGAAGGCAAGAATGAGGATGGGGTGATGATCATCTTTGACATTATTTCCCCAGCCACTAGCCGTTCCATCCAAAAACAGCCTTTGCCAACCTTTACCTTTACTATTGTTTCCAGATTCATGATCTAGCTTGTTTCATTGTTTTTGCGAGAATATCTTCACCGGCTTTCTAAGCCTTTGCTAAAACATCTTGAAGCAGTGTGGCTTGGTCCGCAGGAGGAACGCAAGCTGGGGAAGTACAGTGCCAGTATCAAGGCTTTGTCGACACACATGGCGGGCCAAGATGCGACGCTCCTGTCCCAAGAACTGGTCAAGGCCGAAGCTGCGGGTGTTGGAGCAGAGCTCTTGGAGAAAGCTGCTGAAAAGCTCAGAGAGCTCCAAGAAACTGAGACTCCAAGAGCTGATGACGAAGATGAAGAGGCCTCGGAAGCAGTGTTCCCTTCTGCTTGTGTGCTGATGATTTTTCAAGTCGAGCATTCTTGCGCGGTGCTTTGAGGGTGCCGGAATTGGAGTAGAATCTGAAGAAAACCAAGCTGAGACACCCCAGGAAGTGGAGGCAGGTCTTCAATGTTTGTCGCCATGCAAGTCACACAATTTGTTGCTGTCAAGTGAGTCAAGTGCATGGTTTCAAAGCCAAAGGATGAGTCTGCAGCAGACCCTGAAGCAGATGAAGCTGAAACACTGGAGGAAGCAGCTGAGGCAGATCTTGAGCAGAATGTCATATGGAGAAAAAACATGAAACACACATTTTACCTACAGAGAGCTCTTTGTCCAGCAGCATGACGCTCTCGTAGGTCAAGGATTCTGTTGTCCCAACAAAGCTTGAAGCAGATGCAGACGGAAAGGAGGCGCCAGCTGTTCAAGCGCGATTCTTTTAGTTCTCTCCACGCTCTTCTTTTGTTGCTGTCGACAGTAAAGGCCCGGTCGGAGGTGTCCTTTGGTGGGAGCTGTGCACAGTTTCCCTTTGAAATTTTCTACAAACTCCAGAGCTGCGCGTGGCAAAGATGGCAGCGTATCGATCACGTTCTGCTTCAAACTTCAAAGTGAAACGTTGCGGGCGCTGATATATTTTATAGATCTTGGCCGTTTTACGGCGGATCACACTTCCTCAATGTTGGAGGAGATCTCACACAAACAATTGCCGAAGTCTCACACACTTATGGATATGCGTACTGACTTGACAGCGGTGCCACACGCCAGCCTAAGAAACCCAAATCCTGAAAAAACCAGGTGAGGGGGCCTGAGTGCCTTTAGTTAAAGGCCAAAGTTCCAAAGCCACGAGACGACGAGCAGGTCGAAGTGACGGCGATCGCTCTTGTCTGCAGAGTGCATTAGCCCTTTACGGAAACTTAAAAGTTGAAAGTTGAAGCAGGTACAAGTGGTTGATCAGACCACTCATCCACCGAAATGCCATAGCTTCGTTGGACTGGATAGGCAAATCGGCTCCAGTCCCCCTGCTGAAGAAGCCGAAAACAATTCAAAAGAATCCCTGTGACTACAAGGGGCACACACACACTAACTCGATTTTGGAGGCTTCAACCCTCAAAGCACAACCGAAGCACCACCATTGCACCACCTCACCGAAGCACCACCGCATGCGCGAGACAATCAGCAGACGATGACACACCACCACCGCAACCACAACCGCCGCTACCATCACCCCCAACACTACGATGACCCACCGCACTAAAACCATTACCACCACCACGCCACGTCAGCGCAACAGTGCAACCTGCTGGACCCCGGGACCTATCGTTCAAGTTGTAAGCGCAGCTTCCTTTTTCGTTTGCCCCACGTCCTTTGTTTTCACTCGATGGTTTTGACACTAAGAGTTCGCGGAGGTGAAAGGAGCTGAGCTTGGCGCAGCCAGCGCAGCCAAGACCTTGAAGGAAGCAGGTGGTTCTCTCGTGGATGCCGACACTGAGGCAAATATGAGCCTTTTGTATTCTTTGGGTTGTTGCCGATCAAAAGCTTGAATGCTGATAGTAGCAAGATGCTCAATGCCTCTTTTGCAGGTCAAGAGCGAAGGTGAGGTGAAAGAGCTTCCAGCAGCTGGCGAGACACCGAAGGGAGTGCATGACACTCCTTTACCAAGCGATGACGCCGAAGCAGCTGTTCAGGTCGTGCCGTGATAGCTGCACTAGACACTAGAACCTGGCTGGCTTCTGATGTGTCAGTAGATTCTGGTAGATGATGCTAGATGTAAAAGGAGACATGGTCCTATGTGGAATGAAGTTGCACGTCCCTCCAAACTTCAGTCTGTGTTGCAAACGGTGTGCTCTTCATGAGTGATACCATACCGCCTGGTCCACATTTTTGTTTTTGGACTAAGACTGTCGGTATTCTTTCCTGATCTCTGGAGAATTTCAAGATGCGTGACACAAACCTTTGTGTTTTCATGAAGCGAAGTTAGCTTGGGTTTGGCCCAAGCAAAGTCTACCCTCATCGTTTAGGCTGGAGACGTTGATAACAACCCGGCTAATACGAGTGTTTTGCAAAAAATCCATGTGGTATACGCGGCATTTCGGCTATGTCCACAGGGCCACTGGGGAGAGCGTCTTGCTGCGTGGATCAGTGGGGTGGGATAATGACGTCCATTGTCTGCTACGGCAACGACATTGCGGCAACAACGACCTTGGTGCCAAAATTTGCGCAACCGGTTTCTGGTGGATGTTTGGTATGTGAACTCTTTGATTAAGTTTTTGCTTGGGTTTGCTGCCATGGGCCAAATGCAATGCTGCAGGGACATTGGACTCGAACATGCTGCCGTGAAGCATTGCAACATGGAAATCACCAGAGTTGCTAAAAAGCTTCGTGCAAGGACCGGAAGGTGCTGGAAGCGCGACATTAGCGAGGTTGCGGGAACGCAGTGTCTTGACAAGGTTTGGGGGAACCTAAAGTCGAATGTTTGTGGTAGAAGCTCGGCGAAGTGGCACAAGACACAAGACCACGCAAACACGTTAAAAGATGTTAAAAGAAGAGATGCCACGGTGGCTGCAGCCGGGCTTTTATGACAACACTGCCAGCAAGTGTTTCTGCATGCCATTTCAAGGCTGCAAAAAAGGTGCTGAGTGTTCCTTTTCTTTCTGGCGCTTGCAGAACCACAGCATGGTTTAGGCACCAATATAAGAAAGGCATCAAGAAAGATATCCCACAAAGCACCACGTCAAGCAACCCAATGTTTGTTATGGCCTGAGCTGAGCCACAAAGAATATGCGTGCGGAAGTCTGCGAACTGCTGGGTTCTTTGACTGGCAAAATGCTTGAAACACAACAAATTGTTTTCCAGCAGCCTTGTGGGAGACAAGACGACATATAATGCTCAAATCGTCGTTGGAGTGCCGGATGGGTTTTTGACCAGAGTTGGCTAGAATCGCATTTGTGCAACAGACGAAAACAGTGCATAGTATACTGTTCACAACTTCCCTGGAACAGTTTCACCTGTAAGTTGTCGCCGTGATGGGAGTCTCCTCACTTGGTTCTTTTGCAATGGGCTGGGATGGGCCAGGTCCACCGAACAGTCCTGGATGCACGTTTTATGTCCTTTGAACACGCAGGTGTGGGCGTGGGGTTGCAGGCTAACCAATGTCGTGGTTCTTCGAGAAAAACATCTTTGTTGCATTGCCACTCGCGAATGCTTTCAAAGTGACAAACATGTGGCTTCCCAAAACTGTGAGATTGGTTTTTGCCACTCAGTGTTGCAGCGCGCTGTTTGTCCAGCGGAATAGGAACGTAAACATCAACTCGCCCCTAAGTGCACCAAAACACGCACAACATAAACATCCAAGCGCGTGTTTTCCATGTTGACTCGACTCTAATATTTAACATGTTTTCTAAAGGCAGGAGTTCCCCAAGAGCGCTCTTGTCGGCCAAAAATTCTGATGCTCCAGCAAAGCCTGAACCAGATGACGAGACAGAAGAGGTGCACCAGAATGGTTTTGCTTCACTGTAGGCCCATAGCTCCGAGTCTATTTTTTCTCCACCGGTGATGCTATGTATGTATACGTTTTCGAAGGTGACCAAAGTTGAGATCTTGAAGACAACAAGCGGTTCCCTGGTGGATGCTGATGCAGAGGCAGGTCCAGGTTCATTCTTCAAGAGCTGAGAGTTTGATTGCAATGTGACTCTGCATGCTGCAGGTGAAGAGCGACGGTGAGGACAATCCTCCAGATGCCGACGAGACGGCCAAGGGAGCACATGATGATGATTCAGCTGTGGAGGCTGTGCTGTTTGGGCTGAAAGTTGAACATTCTTCTACGTACAGATGTACTGTAGTTTACTGTTTTATACTTGGGGTCATGTCAAAACGATTTGGTTTAAATCTCAACCTTCTTGCGCTTCGCGAGTGAAACGCTCACAGCGTTCTGAACACAGAACTTGCATTTTGTGTTTGCGTTGTTGGCAACAAAAGCCACATCAGGTAGTGACGATGCGCAGCAGCCCGTCCTAGCGTTAAGGTTAAATAACACTTTTCGACATGTGGGAAACAGTGCAAGTGCAGATGTTTTTCTTGAAAGACAAATCAACAAAGCGGCTTTTGTCGTCGGGAAGGCATGGGTGTGTTTGCGGCATTGCACAAGGTATATTTGACATGCATATGGCTCCTCCGAGCCGCTTGCGTAAGGTGTTTTTCTTTTCGAAGGAGGCATCATGTATGCATTGTAGCTGCATGCTACACATGCTTTCAGCCGCCAAGTGCGTTCCGGCTTTACAGAGCGCGGCCACAGCTCTACGGACCCAATTCAACTGATTAATGCAATCAATACCATTTTAATGTGTAATATATACATGTCTACCCCCGTCGTGCTACCTGTTTGGGGTTGAAGTAGGTATTTTGCAAGTTGTAGTTGTCATGAAGCCCAGACAATTGCAGGATAAATGCAGTCTAACTCCTCAATAAGAATTCGCAATAACCTTCAACAACGATGTCAATGCTCGTACTTGGGCTTGGAACTGCGACAATATAGATTAACTTCCTTTGACATGGGCAGTTTTGCTCATTGTTTGCTAAGACCCTAATTTAAAAGCAATTGGCAATTGAGGAGGTGTCTTCCATGAAGGGGCTTTTGATGAGGAATATACAGGAACAGATTTGCCAATATCAACAAAAGACTGGTGTTAAGGGAAAACAAAAAACATCTCAAAGAACATGTATTCCAATTCTCCTTTTTGACCCATAGAAGATCGTACCAAGGGTCTCTCTTTTCTTAAGGGGGTGTTTTGCATGAGAAAGGACGGGCACTTGGAATGAGTAATGAGCCATTGTTTGGATTCCTTGTCCCCAGTATTTGGCAGTGATTGAAGGTTTTTGTATAAATCATTGTCTCTCGGTAAATTCAATGACATCAGATTCTGCAAGCGAAAGTTGATATGATGACAGTACAGGATATTAAGAATGAACAAGATGCAAGAGGCGAGGGTCGTTGAGGTATGTTTTTTCCCCTGCTCGCAGATAAGGGGCATCAAATAAGTCAAAACAGTGCCATACATCAACGTCAAGAACAGATTTAGTGAGCAAAGAGCTTCACCGCACAAAGGGTTCAAAGGGTTGACAATGAGTTGTAACAGTCAACCGATAATCTTGACACTTGGTGTGTGGTTAATTGCCAGCCCTTGCAACACATTGCAATGGATTCAAGATTCAAGATTCTATTGAATCCAAACCCACACCTTCAAGATATATGGTTCAAGAATTCTGGAATCCCACTGCAATGCATTGCAATGAGACTGAGCCACCAAATGCTCTTAAGTATTTCTGCGTCACTGGGGCACATGTTTTATGTGCGTGTATGTTGTGCCTCCAAACACAAACAAAATCCAGACCACACACCCACACCTTGAACATGTTCAGAAAGCTTTGCATTTACAAACAATCGCTCAAAGGTAGGTAAAGGGAGTGGGGACCATGTGTATACAACATGTGATATATACATATCACTTAAGACTTATGTATCAATGAAACATGCATACATGCGCACAGAGGCGGTGCTCTTGTAGGCCAAAGATTCTGATGCTCCAGCAAAGCCTGAACCAGATGACGAGACAGAAGAGGTGCACCAGAATGGTTTTGCTTCACTGTAGGCCCATAGCTCCGAGTCTATTTTTCTCCACCGGTGATGCTATGTATGTATACGTTTTCGAAGGTGACCAAAGTTGAGATCTTGAAGACAACAAGCGGTTCCCTGGTGGATGCTGGTGCAGAGGCAGGTCCAGGTTCATTCTTCAAGAGCTGAGAGTTTGATTGCAATGTGACTCTGCATGCTGCAGGTGAAGAGCGACGGTGAGGACAATCCTCCAGATGCCGACGAGACGGCCAAGGGAGCACATGATGATGATTCAGCTGTGGAGGCTGTGCTGTTTGTGCTGAAAGTTGAACTTTCTTCTACGCCGGTGCGCTGGTATAAAGATGTACTGTAATCTTATACTGTCTTATGCTTGGGGTCATGTCAAAACGGTTTGGTTTAAATCTCAACCTGTGTTCAACACAGAGATTGTTTTTGCACGTGTTGTTGGCCACAAACACCGCGGCAGGTGTCACGAACAAGTGGCAGTGATGTGCAACAACCTGCCCCAGCATTAAGATTTCCAAAAGTGCTGGCGGCGCTACCAAAGTCGCATGCGCCACACCTGCAAATGTCACCTTTGAGTGACTCCTTGTTTGCAACAAATCCTTTTGCGAAAAAGCTGGCAGTCGATGCTGCCTTGCAAAATTCTGGTCAAGCACGTGATGGTGATGTGCAGGCGGCTGCTGGGACATTCAGTTTCCCGAAA